CTCTCTCTCTCTCTCTCTCTCTCTCTCTCTCTCTCTCTCTCTCTCTCGGTGCTGCTCTGGCACTGGTGCAGTGTTGCCTTGCAGAGCTTGTGAGTGCTAGAAATCAGATCTAGTTATCTAACATAGACACATACAAAATAAAGGAGGAGTGGTGTTCGCTTGCGGTTTCTCTGGGGCTTGAAGTGGTAAAAAAAATATTTTGGGTCGTATGTATGCTTTCTGAGGGGCAGAGAAAGCTAAAGGTGGTGGTTGTTCTTCATGTCTGGGCACTTCTTTTTGTATTTTGAGCCTGAATTTCCTTTTGTTGCGCTGCTGCTAATTGGTCCTCCAGAGGATTCATTTGTGTATGTTGGCAAGATGGATGACCAGAACTAAGTCGCTGCACTTAAGAGGAAAGGAAAACCAAAGTGAAATCTGTTTTGTTTGGTGTTCTTCAGTTTCTTTATCTTGCTTCATTTGCAAGAATATGCTTGATCATATCAGTAGATATTATTGTAATTATGGATCTTGAGTTACCTGTGAGAGATTTATCTTTTCATGTCTGTCTCATTCATCACTTCTTGTATTCTTTTGTATTTCTTGTTTGCCTCCTGTCTTGGATTTGTTTTTGCTGCAGCGGTTCTCTTTACTGACAGATTCAGGGCTGAGTTCCTCCAAAGAAATCCAAAGAAATACCAAATATAGGAGAGCTCACACACACAGTACCCACACTGCATCTGCAGCTCCTCTCCGTATTCTTCTCCTTATATGATTTTCCTCAATGGAAATAGGCAATTGTTGGGAACAAAAAGGAGCGTGTTTGAGTTATCAGCATATACTAAATTATTATTGATTATTATTGACATCAATAGAATTATTAATGTCAGATTATTAACAATTATTAATAATAACGAGGCACCACCCTGCGAACAGGGACCAATAACCAAACTATAGACTAAGTCTCATAATTAGTATTCACTCACAATGTCAATAGTCAAAGTACTATTACACATTAAGAGTGAAAGTGAAGGTTGAGTACGAGCAACAGACCACATATACAGCTATAATCACAATACACATGCACAAAGTTATCATACAGCTGCTCTTTAAAGTATAACAGAGTTTATTAAGCTCCAATAATAATGATCTAGTCAACTAATATCTAAAACTATAACAAAACTATACATTCATGAGCACGCTATCTAAAATCAACAAATTGTGGCAAGAGTGTGTGTGTGTGTGTGTGTGTGTGTGTGTGTGCATGCATGTAGTGTGTGTGTGGGGAGAGGCGAGAGCACAGCTCAGACAACGTATGATGTCGCGAGACTAAAAATGGCGAATATAAAGGTCTCGCATCTACACGTGTCTGAAGCAGTTAGCTCACCCCGGAGGTGGTTGGTTTTAGAAAATATTCATAATTATTATTATTATATTATATATATAATATCGTTATAATATAACATATATTATCGTTTCAGCTCTACAGGTTGTGATGCAATCATTTCAGTAAATAATCACAGGAAACCTTACAGGTTTAGAATAAAAGCCAGCAGCAGCACATCGTCACCTTTTTGACTTTGTGTAAACGTCTCTCTGTGTGCTTTATCTGTCGCTTTCAGCATAATTTGCGAGCCATCCGTGGAATGTGTCCTTAAACCTCTTACAATGAGAAATGATAGCCAGCATATATTTTGCTAATGAGGAAATGTCCTTGGAGAATAAACATGGGGAACAGAGGATGTATATGTGCTGCACTGTGGGGGATGATGGAATGGATCGGGGCCAGGCAGGAGAGAAGAGGAAGCAGTTGCTTTCTTTGTGCTATATTTGGTCTTCCAGAGGATGGCTGGTGTGGGAGAGCAGCAATTGTGTTGGAGATGCATGAATGTGTTCATGAATACAGACACGTATTTGCATACACACCTGCACACAAAGACTGCAGAACAGAAACACAGATGAAAGCATGAACAGAAGCAGAAGGTCTGCCTATGTAGCCTCATAGTAATATGCTTTAGTAGTCTTGGCAAGACTAGATGGAAATTATTATTCATTATTATTATTAATTACAACTAATATGTCAACCTCCGTCTCGCTCCTGACAGGGGTCGGCTGATTCGTACACCAGTAGGCCGTCGGATTCAGACCTGTCAGCAGAGGAGGACCGCGAGGCGTATCGGCGTGAAGCCGAGCGCCAGGCACAACTGCAGCTCGACAGAGCTAAGGTACGTCACACAGTGATTTACACTACCGCATACTGTAGCGTTAAGTCAAGTCCAGAGCCACTTGTGGGCCTCTGCTGCTCCAGAAGAACCTTCATATATGCCCTCAAATAAGGCTGGGAGGTATGGCCGAACTCTTCTATCCTGATATAGGCATTTCATATCTCGATAACGATATATATATACGATATATAAAGCTGGTTTTAGTGCAAAACATAGGTGGGAAACATTGTTTTGCAAGTCTCAAGTAAATCTCAGTCCTTGGTTATTAAGTCCAGAGTTGAAGCCCCTATATCAGCAGGTCCCAAGTCCAAGTCCTAAACTTTCTATTTTGAGTCCTGAACAAGTCATTGTGAAATTAGAAACAGCAGCAACAGCAGGTTAACTTTACTGATGGCCACCCATAACGTTAGCTGATGTTAGCATGCTCACCTCAACTTAATGGTCTTTGTGTCGTGTCAAATGTCAGACAAAGTTGGTTGAACATTTCAGTTTTTAGCCTCATGTTTAACGTGTTGGTGTCCGTTCTTTGTTGATCACCATATTGTCTTTATGTCCGAATGTGATTATTCGAGGTCGACCACGTGATTGGCTGCTGTCAGATGGATATGTAGTTGATCTGTTGTCTGAAAAACAAGGACTAAATTTGTTGAACTCTTTTTCTGCAATGTAATTTTTTAGGTCAAATCAAAAGTCGAGGCCAAAGCCAGATTCATGAGTTCACACCACTTATACATTTGTACTGCTGTTTCCATCGCTAACACATGTTTTTGTTATCTCTCAACAGTCCAAATCTGTAGCGTTTGCAGTAAAGACGAATGTGAGTTACTGCGGAGCTCTGGATGAGGACTGTCCTGTCCAAGGAGCTGCAGTCAATTTTGATGCCAAAGACTTCCTGCACATCAAAGAAGTGAGTGATTGTGTGTGGTCGATTACGATGAACCCCTTCATTACATTAAAACAACATTTATAGATGTGACACGGTTCTGGTGTCGCACTCAACAGAAGTATAACAATGACTGGTGGATCGGCCGGCTAGTAAAAGAGGGAGCAGACATCACCTTCATCCCCAGCCCTCTGCGACTGGAGGCGATGAGGCTCAAGCAGGAGCAGAAACAAAGGTCTGTTAATAGCATCAAACGTCTTCGGAGGACTCATTCCCGCAGTAAAAGTTTGATAACATAGTGTGTTGCTGTTGCAGGAAAACAGGGGGTAACTCCTCCAGTTTAGGGGACATGGTGACTGGGAGTTGGAGGACCACACCGCCATCTGCAGGTGAATGTAAGTACTACAAACCTCTCCCTTTAATTCTTTGCTGGAACAAAAAACGACTTTCCCCTCCGCTGTCTTCTTCTGTCTCCCTTCTTTCATTGATTGTTATTTTCTTGTTTTCACAAGCCAAACAGAAGCAAAAACAGGTAGGTTTGGGTACTTTATGATGACACAGCATGTGCTCATAATACGTAGTTTATTATTTTTAACTTTAAGTGACATTCTCAGAGTATCTACATGTCTTTAAAAGTGTCTTGAACATTCTGTTTTTTTGCCTGCCGTAGACAATAACATTGGTTAAGTATTTTATAAACGAGGTGATGGGAGACAGGGTACCTTTATATTACTTTTTTATCTATAAACACTATAAAATGTGAGTGGATTGTGGATGTAGGTGCTTTTTGTGGCGTAATTATGTTTCATTATTATTATTTCTAGTCACAGTAGTTTGGAAGATTATTTAGTAAAAATTGGTGGTATTAAAAAGTCCTCAATTTAATTCAATGGGCTCTGCAGAAACCATGGTTATGTAATTGCTTTTAGCTTTTTACAACCAACAAACCCAGGCCCCATCATTTCTTACCCCGGCTCTCTCTGTTCTTCGTCCCCCTCCCCTCGTCATCCCCTATTTCTGGCAGGAGCACGTCCCTCCCTACGACGTGGTGCCCTCTATGAGGCCGGTGGTCCTCGTGGGACCATCGCTGAAGGGCTATGAGGTGAGCCTCTCCTCCTTTAACCTCCAGCAGACACAGAATGACTGCCTCACACTCTTCACCGTTAAACCTGTTCCTGCACTGCCGCAGTTTGTTGTTTGAATCACAATCAACGGACCTGAAATAAGGCCGAGATATTTTACTTGTGAAACCTGTTCGATACATTTTCAATGAATCATTACATCTAAGTTATTATTTAACTTGTTGTCTTCTTATCTCCGTCAGGGGCCGAGAAGCAAACCAGAACAGTTTTCTTGATGTTGAATTTTAGATGTTGCGTGTACATAAGTAACTTTTTGAGAGAAAAACGTAATACAAATTTACGTTTGCATACATTTGTTTCATTAATTTTATTTATTAATAATTTATTCCATTTTTATTTTTACACTGATGTAGCCTAAAAGTTATATTGCACTCTCAAGAGATTAAAACTATAAATGATGCCCTGGAAAATATGTAACTAATGAGAAAATGATGAGATGAAGTTATTACAAATACAGGTGTGTGTTCACTTGTTTCACTTTTGTTTTTCTTTTACTCGTGAATTTACTCACTACTCACATTATTTCCATAAATATTTTGGAAGTCTTACTGTGTTGGTATCCTGACGTTAAATCAAAGCAAAACATAATTTCTTCGGGAAGTTTGTGTTCTGTCTGTTTAAAAAGTCTGTTTCTTACCTCTCTTCTTCAAGGTGACGGATATGATGCAGAAAGCTCTTTTTGACTTCCTGAAACACAGATTTGAAGGAAGGTCAGTAAAGTGGAGAGATGATCTCTGTAGTTATGGAAAGTAACTTAAAATGAAATGAATCTGATCAAGAAGTCTCACAGCATATTTGTTTCTCTCTCTATGTTTGCGGCAGGATCTCAATCACTCGTGTAACTGCCGACCTGTCTTTAGCCAAGAGATCTGTCCTCAACAAAAGACCCATAATGGAGAGATCCAACACTCGCTCCAGCCTAGGTGACTAAGCATGAAAGCTCCTGAAATCTTTATGGTACAAAGAAGCAATGAGTTTGAACTCAAATCGAACGTGTCTGTGTGTGCAGCGGAGGTTCAGAGTGAGATTGAGAGGATATTTGAACTCGCCAAAACCCTGCAGCTGGTGATTCTGGACGCGGACACCATCAACCATCCTGCACAGCTAGCCAAAACCTCCCTCGCACCCATCATTGTCTACGTGAAGGTTTCCTCACCAAAGGTACAGTAGGTCACTTCACTCGTAGATTAAGGCTGTCTCATCTTCCTCCACCTGAAACCTGAAACGTTACTCGAATGTTTTCTCTCAGGTGCTCCAGAGGCTGGTCAAATCCAGGGGGAAGTCTCAGAGCAAGCACCTGAATGTGCAGATGATGGCTGCAGACAAACTCTCTCAGTGCCCCCCTGTGAGTGGATGCTTTTCTTTCTAGTCCTATTATGTTCCATTGTTCCTAAGTCATATTCTCAAGGTGAAATAGAGGCACTGACTTTTTCTGTAACGCCATCACGAGGTTCGCATTTTGCGGTCTTAATTGAAATAACTCAACAACTATTGGATGTATTACCACGAGATGTGGTGTATACAGTGTACAGTTCAGGGTTTTGATAGCTAAAATGAAAGTACATGAGCTTACTGGCATGGGTAGAAAAGTCCAGACAGAAGCTGTATTGAGTTCAGCAGAAATGGGGCAAGGAAAGGTGCAGGAAGGCAGGTACAGAAGGGGTCTAGATGCAGGTCCAAGTAACAGAGAACAGATAACAGAGGGGCGAAAGAAATGACACTGAGCCGAAAAGCAACACTGCTGATGTGACAGGGAAAGAGTGCAAATGGGCCGGTTAAATGCCGCAGGGCTGATGAGGGAAAGAGGATACAGGTGAGCAGATGGGCGGGGAAGGTCAGGTGACTGGATTTGAGGGAAACATGGCTTCATATCATTAATATCTGAGCTGCCCCTGACCTTCCCCTTGACCCTCTTGCTCATATATCCGCTGTGCAAATGATTGTGGGGTCAGAATAGCCAGAAAAGCATGCTGGCTCGCGTATGGGATCGGATGTACTCGAACATCCTGGTGTTTTTGGCATACTGCACTATGTATTGGGACATACTACATCTGGCTGACGCAAAATCATAGAACACGAGGATGATTGATTCGTGTCACTGAGGGAGGGCTTAATAGTGACCTGCTTTATGGGGGAGGATTGCTATCTGACATAGCAGGTCAGATGGTGTTGGATAGTATGACCTTTACACACATTATAATAAAAAATACTACGTCCGTGGACATTTTGCTATTAACTTACACTATTTGCCAGCTGCACACCGTTACCGTGATAGTCAATGCTTTGGAAACTTTTGTGCCACTTACATTTGCACTTTTTTCAGCTGCCGGTGGTAAAAAAAAAAAGATTTAATTTCTCATTTTCTTTTTCTGTCATTTGTAGGATATGTTTGATGTCATTTTGGATGAGAACCAGCTGGAAGATGCATGTGAGCATTTGGCTGAATACCTGGAGATCTACTGGCGTGCCACTCACCTCCCAGGCAACACCCCTCTTAACCCCTTATTGGAGCAGACTCTGATGACCCCGCCTTCTGCCATCTCCAGCCTGCAGGTGAGTTTGTCTTCATCTGTTCAAAAAGTTTTAATATGGTGTTCATGACTCTATAAGCAGGAATCTCTGTTTTGAACATGTTGTGTGTTGTCACTGTCTTTACCAGCTCTTCCCATCTCAGATTCTCACTCCTTTGTTTTTATTGTCTCCAGTTGTCTCGTCTGTCCTCTCACTCATCCATGCTTAACATTTTTGCAGTTTTCTGAAACACAGGAATTAATTGAATGATCGCTTACAAAATTGGGTGAGTAGTAGGGTTTATGATCTATATATATGTATATATAATACTGTATATATGCATATTTATATTTATTTATATTTGCACTCTCAACCCCAACAATCCTCTTTTACACACCTGAACACAGATTACACAGCGGCTGAGACAGTGAATGAACAGCATTGTATTCATTCAGATCTCACCACAGAGAAGATGACGTGTTTTTTCTTCATTGCATCCTGCCTCCTTTCCTTTAGTTCATGGTCTCAGGTGAATCACTGCTCCTCAGGCTTTCTGGGAGAGTATAAAACGTCTGTGTAAGGCGTAATCATCAGACAATTATTCTCTATTTTCAATCGGTGATGATCCTTTTCCCGAGCATGCTTTGTGAATGGTGTCCCCGCCCTCAGCGGCACATAATGCTATCTTGAATGATGGCATATGATCAATGCTTCAATAATGTGTTCACCCAAACTAAATGCATAAACTGAGACCATAACATCAGCACAGTAACATTTCGTGTTCAACTGTTTCACCGGCATTTCTTTTGTTGGGTGTCTGTAGTATTAATCTGTGTACACGCAGACAAAACACTGTAAACTAAGAAGGACTTTGAAGAGACTTTACTAACACTGCAAACACTGTTGCATACCCAATTCACGTCAAAGCCCCTATGTATTGTACATTATATATTATTATTATTATATGTATAAATTGCAGATTATTACCGCTGCTCCTTGTCGTCATGATTTCCCACATGTTGACGTTTTAGAAACTTTCTAAAACAACATTTTTAAGAGAACAGTTAATTAGTTGTGTCTTGTGGCTTTGAACACTAGAAATAGAGACTCATAAATAGTTTAATATTAACTACCTCTGCTAACATGAACCAAAGGCTTTTCAGCTGTATTCCATTTATATATATGTAATGTACGGAAGAGTATCTGCAACAATTTTGTTATATGATAAATGTTTGTGTCGTTTTTAGCCTTAAATGTTTCCTATACTGTACAGCAAGTTAGTCATGTGCACATAGGTACTGTATACAAAAATAATCAATACAACTGAAATACAAGGAGTACCCGCATACTGGAATCATAGTTCCCTTTAATTTCATTAATCAGTAAAGTGAGCTGTGTCCTTTTGTGATTTATTGCCAAGTGCTGATTGTCAGATCTGATTTATAGCTCACAAATTCTGATGTTTGGCATCAAAAGTGCAGTGTTTATATTCTCACAGCTATACATACTGCATATGTATATATATACATACATATACACACAGGCATATACATAGTTATCTTTTTATCTTTAAACAACACTGACATGTCTATATCTAGGTTGAAAGAGTTACTGGTCGCTGTGATTGTTCCACCTGGTTGTACTGGGTGTGAAGAGATTTCTTCCAAAAGCGACTCAGATTAAAAGCATGAAATGGAAGATGAAATGAAATATTTGTGTAAATATCCCTCTGCTGCAGCTCAGCAAGGAAGCGCAGTCTGTGAAAACACAAAAAAACAGATTGTTGATTGTACTTGTTAAATGTGCTGACGCCTTTTATGAGCTCAAGGAGGGGATGTGTTTTCACCCAGAGGGGGCAAGAGGAACAATTGTAGCAACCAATAACTTTTTCAATGTACATTCGGGCATGTTAGTGTTGTTTTAAGATAGATTTCCTTTAAAATCCTTCTTGATGTAGTGTTTGCATTATTTTGTCTACCCTCTGTGTGTTTGCTGTCTATGAAAACTGGCTGTTACCAAAAAGTGTGAAGCTGCTCTCAGTGTTTTTTGTTTTTTTTACCCTCTTTATTTATTTCCCTCCCTCCATGACGACTCGAATCCTCCAGAACCAGAACAAGAACCAGCCGCAGCCTCGTGAGGCGGTGGGCCTGGAGGGTGAGGAGGAGGCAGGTGAGGAGGCCCACTCCCCCCTGGAGCAGGACAGTCTCATGCCGTCCGACGAGGCCAGCGACTCCCTGTCTCGCGGCCGGAGGGGGAGCCCGTGCCACAGGGAGGGCGGGGAGGAGGAAGAAGAAGAGGAGGAGGAGGAGGAGGAGGAGGAGGAAGAGGAGGAGGAGGACGAGTATGCCTCCCCCTGCCATGCTCGCACATACAGGGACATGTACCCCTCTCACCGTGGGCACACCGGCAGTGTCCACAGTGCAAACGGGCATGAGTCACATGACAGGCTGCTCCAACGCGAAGCTCAGCAAGGTCACAACCAGAGGAACAACCGCCAGCGCAGCCGCCCCTGGCCCCGAGACACCTACTGAAGAGTGAGGCCCCCAAGACACCTACTGAGGAGCTAGGCCCCTCCTCCGGCCTCCAGATCCGCATCGAGATCACCCCAGGCTGTCTTACGTTCCCAAACAAAATGGTTTTAGAGATGAAAAGCCCCAAAAATCAGAAACAGATGTCCAGTTTATTGAGTTCACAACTTTAGGTGTATTACAGTATTTCTCTCTTCCAGACTCCCAGTTTTGATTTATTTTTAGGGGACACGCTGACCTCTCCAGGGTCAAGTCATTCAGATTAAAGTCAACAGGGCTACTCACCTCTGCAATGGAAAGGTTTCAGGCTACCAGCTGTACGCAAACTCAAACTTTAGCTGCTTCGCCTAAGGTTTCTCTATTGTAGGATGTCTCATATGCTGGCCTTAAAATTCCTAAGACTTTTAACTATCTTTACTATTGCATGTATGAGTATAATTATTTTAAGACTATTTGCACATTAACGTCAGAACAGGAACTGAATGACCTTTAACGGTTAAACCAACGTAGGAATGTACTACTGTTGAGTCCATTTAACGGGAAATAGTAATGCATTTGATTACAATGTACTGAATGGCCACCTGGTTTTTGTTTCATGGCTACTATATTTGTTTGATTTTGTTGATATGGACTTCTTCGTTGTTTCAGAGAAATGTTGCCACCCATGTCAGTTTTTTACTCTGAAGACGGTGAATTGACACACACACACACACACACACACACACAGAGTTTATCACAATGTAAGTACGCGGTATGAGGCTGCAGCACAGCGTCAGCGTCACCTCGTGCGTTTTGGGCATCACTCGTCTTCGCTGTTGCACAATCACTCTCTTAACACCTCTCAGAAGAAGAAGAAGAAAAACAAAAGAACGGCCACAGAGAATGTAAACACAACTAAGAAAAGGGAATGTTTATCTTTTTAAAGGGTGAATTATTCGCCAAACTTGCTTGTTTACATCGAATCATTCACATATTATTAAGCACACGCTGCAGCTCCTCTTCAAGATCTTCAGAGAATGTAAGCTTGCATGCCTTTTTGCACCTCCAGCAACAAACCCCCCAACCGATCGCCCTGTAATTCGATTGTAGCACGTTATTGATTGTAGCATCCATAGTTTCTACACCTATATCTCACTCCCCTCGTGCGTCTTTGCCAAAAACATTGCGTTACGTCCTGCAGTTTGATTAGGTTTTTTTTTGTTTCTTTGTTTCTTTAACAAAGCAGATCCTCAGGTGTAAAGTCCTGCACACTTCATCGCGCTCCACTCGCACGTGACGGACGTGTCGCGCTCCTGGAGGACTCGTAGCAGCCGTGACATGACGTCATTCTGTTCCCGCACCCATTATAGTAGTTAGTCCGCGAGCCGATGAAGAGTTTGGGGGGGGGGTCGATGCTTTAGGAATCACTGGTTTACTGCTTCCATGTCTCACAGGTATCTCTTATCTAGTGTTCTGTATGTTTTGAAGACAAAAAAAAAAATCAGCATGATTGAGAAAAAAAAATCTATGCAAGTGTTGCATGAAATCGGATTGTTTCTTTTTACAGTTAAGTATTTCAGTAATGCATTGATTCTGATTCTCCTCGTTGTCTTGTAGTGATAGTCTTGTCTTTGGGGCTACTCACTCCTCACACCACTAACAACACTATTACTTAAAAATAATAAATCAGAATGCATCATTTTATTTATCCACAAACATTTATATCGGGGACTTTTTGTTTCTCTCTCTTTCCGCAACATTGGGTGGACCCTGGTGGTTGATGCACTTTTACAAGTCACTCACTTAGAAATTGTCCCAGATCAGGCCAGATTTATTTTCAATTTGTGATAAAAAAAAATTACAAGATTATTGTTAAATCCCTGCATGTTTTAGTTCACCAATTAGCTATTTTTATTATATTTTTGGCAGAGTATGTTTTTCAAAGCGGACCAATTCAGCAGCTGATAAAAGCAGTTGAGGTTTTTTCAATTCATGAAGCACAATTTTTACAAGGGTTATAATTTAGTTTCCTCTGTCTTATTCTGTACGCAATACTAAGCCTAACATTGAAAAACTTTAAACGCCTTACACCATCTGGACTTCCTCTTTTTGTTTTTGAGTAGATTCAACAAAAAAAACAACAAAAAAAGAAGAAAGAATTGCACTACATTTTTTTCGGGACGATTGCTTTGTGATGCAATAACTGCACTAAATATATTAACCGTGTATCCACCAGACTACCACAGCGTGCTAGCGTGACCCAACACGCCTCTTCCCTCTATTTATCAAAAGAGACAGCAAATGTGTAAAAAGTGAGACATTTCCTGCCTGATGCTGTATAGAATGCTTTCTATTTGAAAATAGATTTACAATGCTAAGTAAAATATGACTTAAAAACAAAATAAACATGACATTTTACGTACTTTTAATTGTGTCGTTTTTTTTTGTCTCACTTTTACACAATCCACTCTTTAGCGGTGCCTTGAACGTGTTTGTACAGACATTCATAGTAGTAATGACTTTCACAGGAGTAATGACTTTTCCTCTAGCGCCACCATGAGGTCGACATTTGTGCTCGTTAGTGACTGTAGTGGATGGATTGCCATGTAATATGATGCAGATACAGATTCTCTTCTTTAGAGTTAATCAGAATCACTTTGGTGATCCTCTGACTTTCTATATATGACCACACACAGTGGTTAACAGGGAATACACACTGGTGATTTAAAAGCCCCTGAAAACGTGGTTACACATTTCTGTAAATTCAAAGCAAAATGAGCAAATATCTAAATTAAAGTGCAGGAAAAAATGACTCAAGAGTTTACTACACAAAAACCCGTCTAATCTACTTTTTCAGGACTGTGCGAGTGTAGTTTGACCAGATTTGATCGACAGCCTCGGAACTCATCACATCTGGATTTTAATATCGGTGAGAAAGGACAAATGCAAAAAAAAAATCCCTCATTAAAAAAATGTCAGTAACTGTTCCAACTTTGGCAGAAAACACATCCATGTTTGATGTGGAGCCTCATCACCCTCAGTAAGAAGCTGACTGACAACACGTGTTTTCAGAGCCTTTAAAACAAAGATGGTGGTTGGCAGCTGTTGTCTATGAGAGATAATCTCACTGGTTATTCACACGGAGGTAAAAAAAAATAAAATAAATATCTTTAAACATCAGGCAGCATTGGTGGAACTCTGATTAAAAGCCTTTATTGGTTACATGGCTTGTTCAGAAATATAATTAATCAAGTCTGGCAGCTAAATTAAAGAACATACTGTCCATGAATACAATGTTTACCTTTATTTAGTGTTCCTAATTTATTGCTTTTTGGACTGTTTCTGATGTAAATGCTTTTGTTTGTTCATAAAAAGGTCAGACTCAGGAATTTGACTTGCCAAGCTCACAATAGTTTTGGAAATTGTTTTGTGAACAAGCCGTGTAGCCAACAAAGTGTTTAATCTAAACTCCACATCTCTCCCGCTCCTAAATGTTCAGGCGCTAGAAGTTTGCTCTTTCGTACAAGTTTAAAGATCTAAACCCTTTTTCTGCATCCCAACATTTACCCATTGAGCTCATCGCTATCGGAAAAAGAAAGAGAGAGGTATCATTATAGAGTCACGAGTCAGACGTCACCTCATACAAATGTTTATATTTAAAATGATGAATCACAATTTAGTCACAGGATGCATCTGAAGCTAAAGAAAATCACTTCTGGCATTGGTCTCTTAAACTGTGAGGAAATGGAAATTACGGTCAGCTGGTAATCAATAAAAACATATCACGTACTACTCATCTACACTCACATCCTGGCTGCTATGTATCACATCTGACTGAAGAGTAGCATCTACACCCTGCAGATCAGTCACATCACCTCATCCTTATAGAAGCAAAACAAAACGTGCATCACCGAGTCCACATTTATACTTATTTGAATGAATAGAAATATTCAAGTTCACACACATCGATGACAAACTGCCCACGTTTGAGTCTTAAAATCCCCAAACCAGTACGGTGACGAGTGCTGCACCAGTTAACACAACAGACTGGCTGAAAAGAGAAAAACAGGCCGACAGCGAGGGAGGCAAGGTGGAGAAAGAACCAAAAGAGATGGGCGTAAAATACCTGGAGACCAAATCCAGAATGCAAAACAGAGATTGTGTACAGTGACAACGTAAAGAAGCAGTTTGAGACTCTGCTGTGTGTGTGTGTGTGTGTGTGTGTTCAGCGTATTCAGTCCAATTTGTGTGGAAACAGTACGGATGAATCAGGCGAAGATGGTCTCCTCGCGTCTCTTCTTGGTCAGGATGGTTCCGGGTTTGTGCTGAGCTTCCGGGTGGTTGGTGAGCTCCGGAGGACAGGTGGAGACCGGGCTCTCCATGAAAGCCTGCTTCAGGTCGTAGAACACCGCCGCGTCCTCTTTGGTGAGGAAAGTCAACGCCATACCGCTCTTACCGGCACGACCCGTACGACCGATACGATGGATGTAATCTGCAGGAGGACGACGCAAAGGTATTGTTATGAATGAAAAGAAGAAATAAACACAGACAATAAAGAATAAACCAATGCTGAGAACGAGGCCTCTTACCTTCAATGTTCTTAGCCATGTCGTAGTTGAGGACCATGGAGACGTCGTGGATATCGATACCTCGCCCAGCAACGTCTGTGGCCACCAGGATGTCTTTGGCTCCGGCCTTGAGGTTGGAGAGCGCAAACTCTCGCTGCTCCTGGCCTTTGCCACCGTGCAGCGTGCAAGCATTGTACTGCGTGAAGCAGAAGACGACCGAGGTTACATCTTGTTTTATAACACGCTCACTATAGCAATGAATGTTAACGGGATGTTTAACAACATGAATTAGCACTCAACACAAAGTACAGCTCAGGCTCATGGGACTGTCATTACTTAAGTTATAAATTAAGTATGAGACAATACAATACAATAACAATCAGAAAACTTGACCATGTTGCACTAACTGTCATGGAAAATTAAACAACTAAAAGTTTTTTTTCTCCGAGCTTAAACTTTTGCTTATTTTAACGGAAACATTTGATGTTTGTGTCGAGTCCAGTCTACAGCGACTTACCCCCATCTTCTCCAGAGACTTGGCCAGCACGTCACAACCCTTCTTCTGGTTGACGAAGATGATGATGGGAGGCTCGAAGCCACGCGACAACACCTCCAGCAGCTTCTTCCTGCACCACACAGACAATGGAAAAAAAAAAAACGCTTAGTTTGACACTTTAACAGAGAGACACGATGTTCACAGTTTTTACGTTTGTGTCCGTCTCACCTCTTCTCTCCCTCGGACATCAGCAACACCTTCTGTTCGACTCTCTCGTGAGGTTTGCCGGCAGACCCGATGTACACCACCGCAGGACGTCTCAGGTAGCTCCTGGCCAGTCTCTCCACAGCTGCAGGCATAGTGGCTGTGAACATGACCGTCTGAAAAGGTGCAAAAGCAATAAAGCATGAAAACACAAACAAACAGTGAGAGCACCAGGCAGCAACACAACAGTCTTGTGTATAAATTATGTTTGACAGATGAACATACTTGTCTGTATTTATGTTTTCCAGATTCAAAGTTCATAATCATCTTCTCGGGGTCCTCTGCTTCGTCGGTGTCTGGTTTCTGATTGGTCACCGGGATGTACTCCAGAATCTTCTGGACGTCGGGCTCGAAGCCCATGTCGATCATACGATCGGCCTCGTCCAGCACGACGTAGGTGCAGCGGCCCAGAACCAGGTAGCGGTTCTCCAGCACGTCGATCAGACGGCCGGGGGTGGCAATCACAATCTGTTGGGAGGAGGAAAACACACAGCTGGTGAATGTGTGTCATTCATCTTAAGAATGTAATGGCAGAGTGGGCTTCCTGCCAAGAGACGCTGTTTTTGTTAAACGATAACGACATCTGATCCAAGGGCCTCTGCATTCACACCAGGTATTAATAAATCTACTTTATCTAGACGGGATATCCAGATAACATGAAACCACCTTATTGTTTTTTTCAGAATAGGTAAGGATACATTAATGTGCATCTGAAAAAACTATTTTACACACATAATTTGCTCAATATTTTCACCTCAGTAATGTAAAAAAAATAAAAATAAAAATCTCTGATAATGCAACACGTCAAAAGGTATTTCTGATTTTGTCTACTGTTCTTTTATTACTCTTGTTTTAAATAATCATGCTCCAAGTTGTGGAACTAAAATTCCCACAATACTTTGGGGTATTAGAGCAGGAAGTATGTTAATGTAGAGCCAAACTAAATTAATCAAAACTGAAAATTATTCACAGAGGGTATGCAAACAGACTTCAGTGCATTCAGGAGGTTGCTAGCTTTTCTGCACAAGTGTAACAGCTGAATGTCTGAATGTCTCACCTCACAGCCCATCCTGAGACGGAAGCCCTGGTCCTCCCTGGAGATTCCTCCAATCACAGCCACTGTGCGGATACCGAGAGGTTTACCGAACTTTAAGGTCTCCTCCTCGATCTGCTGCGCCAGCTCACGAGTCGGAGCCAGGATCACGGCATAAGGACCCTGGTCTGAGTCTTCAATCCTGCACGAACAGAGGAGTGTAGTAGACGGTTATGTAAAGTAAAATAAAAAGGTAGTGGGACCCTGTTGGTGTGTTCACTTGACGTGATTTGAGTGGACTGTGTTACCTGTCGATCTTCGGCAGCGTGGTGATCCAGACGAGCAGTGGAATGAGGAAAGCAGCCGTTTTACCGCTACCCGTCTCGGCCACACCAATGATGTCACGGTTCTGTAAGCCAATAGGAATGGCCTGCCTCTGAATAGGAGTCGGATCCTGGATTTCAAGAGAGAAAAGTCATCATTAGTCAGATTTTATGTTTTAATTGAAGCACTAAAAAAGCAGTGAGGATATATATCAGTTTATAGGTCAGTTAGAAGAAAATAGAAAAGGTAAAATAACATCACCACACAGGTCAAGTGGGTCCTACGTGACGATTGAGAGCGATCATTGTTTTTACCTTGTAGCCACAGCTGTCGATGACCTCCAGGATGTGGTCGGGCAGAGAATACTCCTTCCAGTTCCTGATTGGGTTGGGGATCTTTCCTCCCTTGGTGGTGATGCTGTAGTCCTCTCTGAAGATTCGCCAGTCTCTGTCCGTCATCTCGTCCAGCTTCTTCTGAGACCAATGTCTGTCGTCCCAGCGCTGCTTCGCTTCCTTCTTACGCATCTTTTTCAGCCTCACCCTGAGAGGAGAAGAGAGTTAGAATAATCGTGTATACTTCTGACGTTTTTGGATTGCATAAACACGTTATTATCTACCTTCCAGTCAGCTCTACTTATATACACGCAGTGTTACTATTTTGTATTAGGTTTAAAAACGTAAAGATGCTTTTGTTTGACTCACTCCTCCTGCTCCTTTTCTTCCAGCGTGCGTCTGTTCTCCATCAGGTCTCCGTAGAAGTGTGACTGATCTCTCTTCTGCTGCTTCAGGTCGATGCCGGCGATGAAGCCTCGCCCGTACAGCTGCACGTGGTGCTTCTCTTTGTAACTGGGAGACAGATTGGGAACATCACGTTGTTGAGACTGGTGCACATTCATTAACAACAAAAAAAAAACACCTGCTTCAATTCAGGGGATGCAATGTGGTGGCGTTTGCTCACATCGGGTTGTAGTCGACTGAGGTGTCTTCAGAAGCGTCCCACTCAAACACGAACTTCCTGTCATTCAGGTGGCGAGTTCTCCGGCGTTTCTTGAGCCCGCCGAGGTAACGCTCCTTTAAAAGTATTTCATTTGGTAAATTACATGATTCAAATGTTTAGTGTTAATGAACAGGTGTTTAAGAAGGACGACATTTTGATGTTTGCAATGCTTGAATACCAAAAGTTTACAAGTAAACTACACGCACACTGTTTTTAAGCTTTTGCTATTAGGACACAATATGTTACATTGTTGGCTTCATCCGTTTAAGTTATGGCTTTTATCGTTCAGGCAGAGGTGACACTCTTACACTTTATTACATTGTTTTTTTAAGAGATGACGGAACATTTGCCACAACAGCCATTTGATATTTGGTATCTGAATTTATGACGTTTGTGGGCGTGAGGGACTTTTCCTCAATTTAAATACATTTGTAAATACATTGACGAGTGCAAGCTCGAACCTCCCTACGCGATGATGTGTTAATGTCTCAGTGTATTTAACTTTGTGCTGTTAATTATTGTGACGGCATTCAATTGAGACTGTGCCACGTTTTTTTAAGTTTCACATCTTGCTCTCCTGTCATCATAAACATTCCCATTGGGAATGTTGGTGTTTACATGTTTCTGACCTCCCTTCATTTTCTCACCCAAAACTAATTTCACACTGAGCCGATTGAAAATCGTAAACTAGAAGGAGAAGCATCTCTTTGGATCTATTTTAAATTTTTGAAGTAATTTCTCCGCAAGGGATTCAAATGACAAGAGGACCGGGGAGTTTGGCGATCTGAATCAGGCTTTAGACTCAACATATAAAGTTGCCGGTCACCGCCATCATTTCCTCTGCTCTCCTTAATTTCCCCTGCGACTTACCTTGATGGCGTGGAGTTCTTTGCTTTTATCTTTCTCCTCTCTGAGCTTTTGTCTTCCATCATCATCTTCATTCCCATTGCTCTCTCGCTCCATTCGCTCTCTTCTCTCCCGCCTCTCCCTCTCCTGGGGGTCCTCTGTAAACACACAGTCTCGGTTCCCGTCATTATGCTTCTATAAGCTGTATGCAGATTGTTTAAAATGTAATACACCAGCATCTGATACACACCCATCATTTTTCTCCCCATGTCCTGGAACATCCTTCTCTTCTTCCTCTCATCTTCCAACAGCTTCCTCTTTTCCTCCGTCTGTTGCTCCCTCCGTTTCAGAGCCTCGGCTTCTCGCTCTGCTTTGGAGAGGAATTTGGGCTGGCAAGGATAAAATTAAAAAAAATTTAAAAAAATAAATAAATAAATAAAAAAACAGAAGAAGTGAGGGGAAACAAATGTGAACCTCAGGAAACTCACCTTCGCCTCCGCTTCCTCCTCTGCCTTCTTCTTGGTGAGAAGCTCTTCCAAAGATAAAGGTTGGACCTGAACAGAAGCAACGGGTCAAACATTAAAATAACCAAAGAAACGATGCAACGCCGTGAAAGATTCAGCCGAACCAGATCTTTACCTTTTCCTTCCTCTTTTTTTCATCTTCTTCCTCTTCTGTTTTAATATCCTTGTCTCTCTTTAACTTTTCCTTCGACTTGGGTGAGAGACTTCTACAAAAGAAAGTTAATTTAAACAGATGTAATCCTTCTTAATCAAAATAATCATGCTTTCATTATTTATTTTACTAATTACAATGTACCATTTCAAAACATTTTCCATTAAATAGTCATATGTTCAAGTTATTGTAAGGAACTTTTAACTGGTTATCACTTCCTCATAGCAGATTTAACTGACACTGTCGTGTATAAAACAGATTATTTGCGGTAAGACATCCAACATTTGTTTGGTTTGTGAGGCACTTCGGCATTAAAATGCCAATTCGAATATAGCGGACCAGTTTCAGTCATAATTACAACTTGGATGTTGGTGTGATTGTTTGGTGGTGGTTGGCCAAAGAAATTGTCTCAACATTTACATGTCATGTGATCTTTCACGTACCTGGACCTCTTGCGATCTTTATCACGCCGATGGCTGTCTCTGTCCTTGCGGCCTCTCTCTCTGTCCTTATCCCGGTCACGTTCCTTTTCTCTATCCTTGTCTTTCATGCGTCGGTCTCTGTTATCACAATACAAATCACATACAATGTCAACATCATCAAATACAACTAAAACAAGACAAATGCTCTGTAACTATGCAGGAATGATAATTAAATCTTTAGTTACCTTTCTGGTGACTTGGAGCGATTCCGCTCACGGGAACGATTGCGTTTGCGTGTCGGTGAGACTTTACGTTCTCGTGAGCGGCTGCGAGGTTTCCTCTCCCTGTCTTTGGTTCCTGAGGGTTCGGCATCTTTCTTGTCTGTGGGGTCGGCTGCCATCTGCAAACACAAAGAAAAACATGATAAAAAATATAAATGATAGTTACTTGACATTCACTAGGGTAGGCTTCTGATAAAGAATTGTACTCTATTACTTCTGAGAGGACATAAAGTAATGAACAGCCAACAGTTATGCTCTTATCTAACTCAAGCCATGCATGATGCATGACGGTAGTGTGAGCCTGATAAGTGAGAAGTGTATTTTGTTTTTTGTTGTAGTCTAAAACATATTAACTGTAACGCTCAGTGTCCGCATGCCAAAACGAAAAAAGATTTATGTTCCAACATTATTGAACTCTAAAGTTCATACAACAAAGAAAGCTGAGCAGAAGAAGAAATACATTATCAAAAGACCATAAATATATCAAACTATACCAATGGACACATAGTTAATGTATAAGAGCTTCAAGTAACTTCTTTATTTTCTTTTTAGCCTAAAACAGCAGAATGTTATGAGGAAATAACCGGGTGATTATTATCCACCTCGGTGTAATTAGGTGGATAATTAAGAGGCAATCATAAAAATCTAATTATGGAAGACAAAGTATTACAAGAAATGGTCACTAAACATGAGCCAACTACGTCATTCTTTAACATAAACTGATTGTGTGGTGCGTTTGCATAATCGTATAATATGAAATGTGATTTAATTGTTATGTTTTTAGTATTGTGTTTTACTTGAAAGAAAGACATTTCTTATTGGGGACTAGTAATGACTCCGCGGTTTAGGAAACATGTAAGTTATGTCAGCTCTAATCCATAAGGTTGCTGGCGTGTCCGCTTGAATTTTACATTGTCACGTTAAGTTAATTGAATTGAATTAGTATGACGGTGAAAGTTTGAGCCTTATTTTCGTTTACCGAAAGTTTACCGACATTATTAAGACTAAACATCTCATTTAGGACGTAAACAACAACACGAGTTACTCTGCAGAATGAATGCAGACAACTAGCTAGTGTTAGCATGCTAGGTCCTTACGTTAGCTAACAACTTAGCAAAAAGGCTAATTGTCTTCTATAAGCGGCCCAAACATGCAAAACTAAAACATTCCTCGAGTCAAACGACTTCATATCATTAAACACAACAGGGGGGGTTTGATATTTTACAACATTTACAGCTTACCTTGATAACTTGCCAAGAAAACACTTGCGATGTATGTACGCTTCAAGAAGACGCCATATCGCTTGACACGAGCGAATGCCTGCAAGGTTTGTGGGAGTTGTAGTACTGAGCGTTCCGTACAAAGTGCAGACAACGGCTGTCGCCACTACATTTCCCAGCCAAAGTGATGTTTTTTTCTCAGGGCCCCAATTGTTTGGTACATGAACAACTAAATGCCTGACTAGAAATACCGTTAGGCGGTCTGTGTATGACATTTTAGGCACAAACTATGGGCACAAGGTGGCAACCGTGTTACATGTTAGCACGATACAAATTTATATATTTAATCTAGCAGAATTTGTATTATACATGATAAATGTGTAGATTTTTTACAAAGGAAACAGAATAACCGTTAATTATTATTTTTTCTTTTCTTTAAAAAAAATAATTTCTTTATTATAGAAAATTGAGTATAAAATGCATAAGTGATATCAATCAATCATAACAACAACAGAAAAACAGAATGCCGGGGACAGCATGTATTCATTCAGAGGAAATTATTCATTCATGCAAATACATTAAAGGAGGTGCACAAATTCATGGCCTTGATAGCCCTCTTGTTTTTGGAGGAGAAAACTTGTTTTTATGTATTTTTTGGGTTAATTTCATCTATCTATCTATCTATATATCTGTCCAGTCTGTCTGTCTGTCATATAACAATAAGAAGAGAAGAATTATTAACTCTACAGAAAGACAAAAAAAAATAATTAAAAAAATGAAAATGGCATATCAGTCCATTGTTGACCATACACTTTATAGTGCAGCCATGATCAGTACCATTTAAAATCACCATCCTCTGCAGAAGATTTACATTCAAGAAGGGTTGTTAGTGCAGGGAACAGAGTATGTTTTTCCTGTAATCTAAACCATCCTCTAGTGTGTATGTGTGTACATGGTCCTGCAGACAGATAAAAGACATTTTAGATGCTGCCTGACTACAGTTTGGATTGGCCCGATGCTGATTCATATTCCGGACCTGCCTTTTCATCCACGCAGAGATCAAGAGAGATTTATGGAGCCCTTCTGAAGGTGAAACAGTTTCAGTAGAATCAGATCAAAGTTGATGGTGGAGAATTACACACACACATACACACATACACACATACACACAGTGGGAAAGATACCAGGAAGAAAACAATAGACTGGTAAGACAGTAAAAGTTTAAAGGTAAGAAGTGAACCACAGTTATAACACAGAAAAACCCAGGGTTGTTCCTGGAGCTACGTTGTCAACACAAAATCCTGCTTCATGGAGTCTTAAAGATTTAAGCCAAGGAGGGTAAAAAGAGGAGATGTCACACGTCATATCTTTGGGCTTTAACACATGAGCAATAACATCTGGACTGTACTTGCCAAAATGCTCAATTGCTGGTGAACTATCATAGAACATGAAAGTGTAATTGTTTAGCTCTTTCCTTGAATATCTGACTTGACAGTGCTTGACTACACACCCATTGTACACACCGTGTTTTTTACTCTTTTTTTTACCTGATTAGACCTCTTTTCAAAACCGGGCATTTAAGACAAAGAATCTTAAATAATTTTAACCTGAGTTGAGGTCTAATGGGCCAGAATAAAACACCTGTGTGAGTGTGCAGGGCCTTTGAATCGTTAAATAACATGTTGCCATTTCAACTGCTTATAAGTTGGACAAAATAATGTAGTTTTGGAGATCTAATAATGTGAATATTAGGATTTTCTTTAACTGGTGGACCCCGTTATGTGTTCTCTATATTCTCTTATAAAATGTACGTTTTATGATTTTTGTGTATTCATGGTGACAGATTTCCTGCAACTCTCATTAACTTATTCTATATGTTCTATTGTGGTATAAGTGCTGTCATGTATATCTTGTGTATATACGTACATGGTACTAACTCGCATACAACACATGTAATGTAATATAAAAGAGTTATACAGAAATAGCAGTAATTATGTAAACAAAGCACAGAAACATACTTCATTAATCTAGTGTAGAAAAAGTGAATTATATTACCATATTATACAACATGTCCATAGTTGCCCTGTAGCTATCAATGCATTGAGTGAGTATTTAGTACACCAGTAATTAGCATCACTCTGTCATCATTTTCCTTTTGCCTTATTTTTGGTGTTTCTACAGTTACATTTAAGCAGAAGTACAGTGACAAAAGGCAAGAAGATGAGGAGAGACATGGCATGAGAAAAACACAGCAGGCACAATTCATTTAATATTTTTGAGCATGGAATCCATTCAACTACTTTCTTATTCATCTTTGAATTAATTAGGTTTGTTATTGCGCTTGAAGAGGTTTTTTTCTCCATTAAAAGCTGGGGAAATGTCTTATAAAGGAAGAAATAACAGATTATTTCTGTAAACTTTAAGAAAAACATTTTTTTTACCCTGATGCAAAATTTTACCACCAACATGTTAATGGTTCTATTTGTTTTGTTTGTGTCACGGCCAGTTAATGATTCTTCAGGTCAGGAAGCTGAGCTGTGTTGTGTAATGATGATGATTACCTAATTCTGATCAGCAGACTATTGCTAAGAGTTCCAGTTAGGATTTGTACAAGCAAAGAGATTAAAGGACAGACAAATTTAACTGTTGTTTCGGGTCAATTCTTGTGCCCAGAACACTTTAGATTTAAACATGGAAACGAACGAGCTGATCAGCAGATATTTACCCGTTTTGAAGCTATGACTGTGTTTAGCTGTTATCCAGATGTGCACATCACAAATCTCAAACTATAACCCTCTCTAACCATCCCAAGCCGCTCATGGGCCCCAGCCTTTTGCTCCCTTCCCCCCACAATCCCCAATGCCAGGCATGGTTGTCTAATTAAACCACTAGAAGAGTACTGACTCTTGACATGCCCTCAGGGTGTGCCACACGGGCACGCAGGCATGAAGGGGGGGGGGGGGAGTGGTGGTGAAGGTGAGCAGTGTGGGTAAATAAGGGGTTTCTGGGGGTGTCATAATATGTTGGGTGAGGGGAGGGGGGCCGGGATGGTTGTACCAGGGGAGTCTATTTACCTCTAGCAGGGACACACGGGGTCTTATCATTCCAGCAGACCTGAGCTGAGCGTGTGTGTGTGTGTGTTGAACCTGGCTCACCTCGCCGCACTTGGGGAACGAAAAACTATGTGGAGCAGACGAGATAAACTGCTTAGTATACACAGCACACACTGACACACATTCATACACCAATTCACATGTACATCGTCACGCATGGATACACTCAGCTTCGAATACAGAACTCACAGACACACATGAACAATAAGGGGACAGCACTGGAGCAACACGAAAATGAGACAAAGAAACTCGCTTGAACGTATTCACAGCAGTGATGAATGGATTTAATTTAAAAGAAGACACATGAAGCCTCATATTTGTTGAATATTTGATTCTATTTTCAGGACATTATGCACTGTATGCAAATGTTAATACAGCTTAACATGGTTAATATTAATGTGAGTAAGTCCTCGGGGTTCAGGGCTATAGAAAGGCTGTGGTGTCTGCTGTCTGGTGATGTCTGTGTGCCTCATTGAGTCGCCCAGAGCACACAGACATACACAAGCTGGGAGCCGCGCTGCCGCCTGAACCTGTCACATCAGGACAGCTTTGGACCGAGCTATCAGACAGGCAGGAGGGATTGATTGAAAGAAACTTCACTTTAATAAGTCTGGTACAATCAGCAGGAATTATGCTGTGATTTTTGTTATTTTTGTGCCGGTTCCGGCTGCAGTAGTCTGGCCTATTGAGATGACAGAGCAATTCAGACACATGCTAAAATATTTTCGAGAAACAAACATACCGGTTATTGCAACATGCTTGTGTTGGAAAAGCTAAATTGCATGTTTAAAGGAAACATTTTGGGGAATATGCTTATTTGTTTGCTTACCAAGAGTTAAATGAGCAGCTCAATACCAGTTTAGTTTAGCTTAGTTTAGCTTAGAATGAAGACAGGAGACAGGAGGGAGGCCACGAGCCTGCTCTGGCCAAAGGAAAAAAACAAACACCAGCATTTGTGAAGCTCCCCAATTAACACATTGTGCTCACGGCTGAGAAAAAGTCTGGCACATAATCCCCTGTAAAACCACAACATGACATGTTTACAGTTTTGTCTTTAAAAAGAGATTAAACAAAGAAGATATATTGTGTTAATTTGTGAGCTTTAGAGGTGCTGAAAGGGGGGATTTTGTTACATTAGGACAGAGCCATTCTATAGCTGTTTCCACCGTTTCCAATCGTTATGCTAACCTAAGCGGCTGCAGGCTGTAGCCTTATACAAACCATACAAACACGAGATTGGTTATCGATCTTCTCATCTGACTCTGCAAGAAAGCAAAAAACAGATCTTTCACCAAAATGTCAAAAGATTGCTTTAAACCTATGCAGACATAGGTTGGGAAATTATACCAATATGTTGAACGCCATCACGGTGGCCACGTCTGCTGGACTGAGCCACAGAGAGGCAGATGCCCATGGGACACATGGAGAATGTCACTCCTCACCCAGCTGAGCCTTTGACATACAACCCCATTTTCCATCCAGAGACAGGAGTTATGACACTGTCAGAGCAGCTGTGGCAAAGCTCGCAGTTATAGAGGACGTGTGTGTGTGTGTGTGTGTGTGTGTGTGTGTGTGTGTGTGTGTGTGCTCGGCACGCTCTGGCATATAAGGGAATGTAACCTATATGTCAGTCTGCAGATAGCTCATCAGTAACCAAGCAGCATAGCTTTGCAAACCCCCCATCCTCTCATCAGCCCTCTGCTCCCTTCTCTGCCTCCGTGGTGCTGGAGATGTCTGATAGGTTGATTGTGCGGATGTGTGTGAGCTTGCATCATGTGCGTGTTTTTATGCGTGTCTGCGCTGCCATGTCTGATAGATGACGTGCTTATGTGGTAATGAGCCACGCTGCACTGCAACCATTTTCTCTGACTCCGCGAGAGGGTTTCAGATGGCAGCATTCTTCCCTAAATCATCCTCCCTATGGTTCCCGATCCTGATCCTCGAACGGTCTCACCGTCTCGGCTGCAGGCACCTATACGTCAAGAGGAGGAAGGGACAAATGTCAAGACAGCACAGATCACTTGCTGCTGACCTGTTCATTAGTTTACATCAAATATGTCAGTGCCATACATGTGTCTTTGTTGGCCTGTGCGATCTACTTTCAAGCAAGGACTGACTTTCAGAAATTCACCTGGACATGGAGGTTATATGTTTTATAAATAAATCAGCGGTGCAGCCTCCTGTTTTTTGGGGAGATACACATTTTAATTTTCTTTATTCACACTCAAGTAAAAAAAAAAAAGAAATGACACACTATATAAAAACAATGGCACACTCATATAATAAATAAAACAATATATCTCATCCCTGGAAAAGTCTGGGACAATGGGACGTAAAAAGAGGACAGCTAGTGAACCTGATTTAAGGAATAATTTGAGAGGCTAAGTCACGCCCCTTTGGTGGACCACCATGGGACCTTATTTCGGAAAAAATATGTATCAACAGTGAAAGACAAATAATTATTTGGTCAACTTTTGAATTGTGTTCTTTCAATTCCCGGCTGATAAAAAGAGTAGCTGGATAAAACACATCAGGTAAGATAACGTTACATTTTTGCACGGATATAGCTCAGTTCCTATAGCTAGCAAGCCAAGGTGACAGTTGTGTCGGTAAAGTACATTGTGCAAGTCGAGAGATGTTAGTTTACTGATCTGTTTCACACAAAAAAAATGATATCTTGCCGAGAGTTAGATAAGAAGATCAATACAACTCTACACGGTTAAGGCTACAGCAGCCGTTTAACTTAGCTTAGCATAAAGACTGGAAACGGGGAAATAGCCAGCCCAGATATTTCTCTTTTTACCAAGTCAAACTAAACAGCTGCTGTAGCTGTATATTACCATACAGAAATGGGAGTTATGTATTTTTAAAAATGTTGAACTATCCCTTTAAACATAGTCTCAGGCAAAAACAGCACAAAAAGGTGCAGCCTTTGTCTAAGGACCATGGCAGTGCAGGAGCTCCACATCCACTATATGGTCGTGGAGTATAATCATGCCTTGGAGCAACATGCTATGGATGACAGAAACTAATCTGATTTACAGAGACATGTAATGTACGGGCCATTTTTTTGATAAATGTGTGCATGTATCTGTGTGAGAGACTTGGAGAAACTGCAGATAGAGATGAGAGGAGCTTCGCAGACAGACAGGCTGGCAGCCCTGTTGGTTTATCCAAAAGACGATCAAACCACTTGTCCATTTTCAGCTGCAGAAAATCAATGTTGGAGCAGACAAGAGACAACATTTATCTGGGACTGGTGATGCAGAGTATATTCTTACAATTTCCCTGTCTGCTATCGTACAAAGGATAAGGATAAGGAGGCCACGAGTCACTGTTGTATCCTGTGTGCGATAGTTCAGGAATGGCAAACATTCAGCTACTTCATCCATGTCGTACCATCAGTGGGCAGAGTGTGACCGCAGGACGCAGCCACGGTGATCCTGATAAGAGCCAATATCAGTCAAGGGAAAGACCAAGCAAATACAGTAATGGAGGTCAGGGTGGATGGCTGGTTACATAAGAAAAAGAAAAGAAAAGAGAAACAGAGAGGGAAATGGCAAAGACATACAGTAAGGAGTGAAGAGACAAGAAAATGCTATATATATTAATATATAATATAGTTAATATAGTTTCATACATAAGCGGTCCTCTTAAACATATATATATATATATTTAGAGATTGTTGGTTATGACCCTATTAGTGTTTACACACTATGTCTTAAATTCTAAAGGTTCAACACAATTTAGTAAATCACACTGCAACCGTTAGCTAACTGAAAGAGCTAACTGACACAACTAACTTTAGCTTGCTGCTAGGCTAACGTGACATTAGCTGGTTTGTATCGATAAATAAAAGAGGTAGAATGGTCGACACTTTCATGACACTTGATCAAAATGCCGTTTAACGACGATATAAACTGGGAAGGCTTTAAATTATATTTCACAAAAGGTTCTTCAAATGACTAAACATTATGCCCGAATAACGTTCGCTTTATCGGATTTCCCTCTCACTATACTGAAGATTAACCCTGAACATATTTCTCCATGTGTTTGATTTTTAAGCAAATACTTACAGATTGGCAGTTATGTTTATTTAATATAGTTAATATAGTTTTATAAAATGTGCCCTTCTAAAATGTTATTTTTGGAGGCTATAGCTTGCGATGCTAATTATGCATTAGTCTTTGGCCAGTTTAAGTCTTCAATTCTAAAGGTACAACATATATTTATTATAACCATAGGAATGACTTTACAGACAAACTTTGGTTGGAGTACCGTGTTGTTCTACTTGAGCAGCCATAGCTTGGTTTGCACCAGCTATTTGTAAATCTTTCCTAACAACCAATTCCCTTTTCTTCAAACAAAACAATACAAAGTGGCAAGTTTTCAAAATGAATCATGTATGAAAAATGATAAATGCTGTGGCATTAGACATGTGTGTGTGTGTGTGTGTGTGTGTGTGTTTGTGTGTGTGCGTGTGCGTGTGCGTGTGTGTGTGTGTGTGTGTGTATGTGTGTTGGGGGAAGGGGGATCCCTTAAGGCTGCGTTCATGCTCGAGTGGTATGACATCCACAGGCTTGTTTTGACACCATACTGTGTGGCTGCCGTCATCATCTAATTGAAGGCCACACAGTCAGGGACGGAACAAAAAAGTTCAGGGTTGATGTTCAGAAATCTATATGAATAAAAACCTGACTGTATTTATTTCTAAAACTGATGTCACTTGCATTATTTTGTAGAGTTACGGTCAATAACCACGATGAATAACACCGTAGACAGCATCAGTTGAATATTGTGTTCTCCTTATCATGGATTTATTAGTGCGAAGTGAACCACAGTGCCCTTGACCTGAGAAATAACTATATGTTATCATTCCTTCTTAAGACAAAATAGACAATATGCTGCCAAAAATTTGATAAAATGACCCAAATAATGTCGTTTTAATTTGGTACAGCTCCTTGAACTCATATGCATACGAAGTACCGTTTCTTAGACGTGAATAAAGATAAAGAAATCAATTGACGTGAATTTACATTTTAAGGTTACAGACAAATTTATCGTTCCAAATGTTTGATATCCATTAAAGGTCTAAGGTCTTTTAGTGTAACTGTTAAACACTGACTTGTAAATTAACTGTAGACATAGGTAATATAGTTTTATATGTAATTTTCCATCCTAAAAATCTGTTTTGGAGGTTATAGTTTATGATACTACACACTGGTGAAACAATTAAGAGTGCTTTTATTCATGAACAGTGATCAGTCCATAAAAGGTCTAAGGTCTGTCCATAATGGGTTTAACACAGAAATAAACACTTGCAAATGAACTTCAGACATATTTATTTAAATAAAGAGTTAAAGAAAGTAGCGTATAACAATAACAAATACAGAATTCAGTCAATAACTTAAAGCCATAACAGGCAACTTGACACAAACATTTTGTTTTACTTCAGTGACATTATTTTCAGGGACTTCTAATAAACAGTTTCAGTAGGAAGGATATGTACAACAAAACAAGCACGTCTGTCAAAAGACGAGCAAGAAAAAGTGAAATGACGGGCTGTGTGTCTGAACCAAACGGAGCTTGTTTGAAATAACGACTGAAGCAGAGCTACAGAGACATGTTTCAGACCGCATGCTGCTTCCAACAACCCACTCATGGCTGCTACCAGCGTGGGGTCTTTAAAACCACGTGGAGACCACGAGCGGGCCCTGAACATGTCCAGCCGTCACCTTCGCAGTGGTCTTCTGTCTAATGCTACAAATAAAAGGTGAGGCACCCTCTCGGAGAGCCATCCCTCCCTCTCTCTATGTGAGGAAACCCCGCTCATGCCCCCACTTCCCCCCCCCCCCCCCCCCCCCCCCCGGCGTCC